AACAGTCTGAAATATAATGAAAAAAAAGAAAAGAAAAAAAAACGCCTTCATCCATGGAAACGCCTTCAGTGCCCGGGAACACTCCCTGAACACTCTAAATAAACGTACAGGAAATATTGTAAATAACATCAGAATAAACGCATATCGTGCAAAAGAACAAGGCCTTGATAAACTTTATTGTGTTGGAATTCGTAGGCATGATCATGTTAATCGCCTAACAAGATCAGTTTGTGAGAACATGTGATAAGCAGTGTGGATATAGATCTCGGCGTACCTCTGCTAAGATTTCACATATCATTAGAACCTACTTCAAAGAGGACTTGACTGTGTTGATTAATTCACAACGGCTTGAAAACTGTAGCATGAATCACTATGACCGGTTAACGCGAGATTAATTCACTTATGGCTTACGTAAAACAAGAACAAGAGGGTGATGTTATGGCCGCAAGAACCAGAGATGGTTATTGATTATTTTGGTAGATCGGTACAAATTGTAATATCAAAGAATCTGAGTATGAATTTTGTAGTGAAGATTACAAGTGACCACTTGTACATTATATCTCAGTGCTGTCTGTTACAACTTTTCAGAGCACCCAGCATGAAGTGCGTAAGACTATGTAACTATTTCATATCATCTGATTTACCATTGTAATATCTCAAAATGACCATATATCAAATATAACTATTCCTTTCCACGCCAAAGTAGTATACAGGAGTGATCGATTGATACATGTAGAACTATGAAACTATTCTCTCTTCTGAAATGCTGTAATACAGATGACCATAATGCCATACCCTGAATTTTAATGTCATACTACTATTTAATGTTCAGGCATCAAATGCATTTAAGCTTGTGCATACTTGTGAGGCTATCCAGAGTGGTAATTAAAGAACTAAACCAAATAACAGTTCGAAACACCAGTATTCATAAACTCACGTAGGAACGCATGCAAGGTTTCGCGAAAATGTAACGAAACGCGCTGAACTATGGAGCCCCATTTTCTGTTCGCGTGTGTCCTTCATGCAAAACGTTCTAACCGAGCAACCTTACCTCACCCGGGACTCCATCTTCAGCAACGTTACCTTTATCGGTTTGAAAGAAAGCGTCGATCCACATTACTAAGGAAAGGATGCACCCGTCAGTTGGCCTCGAAAACCCAATAACCCGAAATGCTCTGTTTCTCTCCCTCCTTTCCTGTTCCGTTCACCGGCGTCTGTCCAGAGGTACCAGGGTCATCGAAATTTAATATGTGTTCGAATTTATGAGAATTACTCATAATGGTGAAGTGTTGGTGCACGTTGTCTTTTCTCATTTGTAACAGGATCTCGGTAAATTTGGAAATATTGGGTTGTCGGGTCAAGTGCGTTTATAACGAGGTAAAGACAATCTCCGACGTCATCATCTTCATAATCATCATCTTTATAATCATCATCATCATCATCACCATCATTATTATTGCTATTTTTTCATGTGACAGGAGACAGGTACTGCATATTTTTTCTGTTACTAGAAAAAAAAATCTTCACATGCCGAATTTTCTTTCGTTTCACGAAACGATTGGCACGTTGTTTCTATCTCTGTGTCCCCTTGAGATGAACTGAGCTTGAATCTGGTCTAGGATACCTTTGACCTTAATTCTGGACATGAGTGGCTTCCATTTACGTAAGACCTGATTTATTCTCTGCACACAGAAGTGGACTTGAATATTTAACACTTCGGAGCAGATTACCTTCGTACTTACGGCTGATCAACGTTTCACACATCTCTTACTGTTTCTTAATGTATATCTGTGCAAATACACTCGGCTAGATAATGGTAACTTACTTGCCACAAAGAAAATAGGAAAAAAATATGAATATAGGAGTTAAGTGATCATAGATAATTGCCGTAGATAATGGGACCGAGATAAGAGACAGATAAGAGAATGATTAATCAAGGCCCGGATAAATCACGCTGTATAGTTAGATATTTTATTAATTTTGGATTTTGGTCATTAAAGGACTATTCAGTGTTTGTTTTATTCTTTTTGACAGTTTCATGACTCTTTTTTTTCTGCTCTCTCTGCGTAATTACTTTGTTATTAAGGCTGTCTCTGCGTTGTATCCCATTTCCACATGGTAACATGAGTTGTAATATTAGAGGCCATATTACCAATAGTGTTGTGCTCTCTCTCTCTTCATTCCTATCTTATCTCCCGTAAACATGCATACTAACAGATTCGTGAAAAGTGCCGAAGAGAGAGAGGGAGAGAGAGAGAGAGAGATAGAGAGAGAGAGAGAGAGAGAGAGAGAGAGAGAGAGAGAGAGAGAGAGAGAGAGATAGAGACTGTCTACACGACATCATCGACGGGCACAATGGCGAGCACCTGTAAAAGTGACGTCACGGTCAAGAAACGAAGTGGGGAACTACTTGCTTACCGAGTAGTTTTCCCGCCTGTCATCCCTATTTGTGCCCGTCCTTACAAAGCCTAACTTTGGCCCCATCCAGACGAATGGACAGTGCTCGTCGGGCAATAGCCGGTGAGTGGATATTTTACGCTTATTAAACAGTGTTACCAGATCGAGCAGTCCCCAGCTGCCACCGGGCACACCTATTTAACTTGTATCCACACGGGTGATGGTCACACTGCAGACCGAGCTCTGGTGAGGCAGCGACCGTAGTGGTTGTCCAGTCGGGCAGCGGCCAACACTCGTGCCCGCAACACCCTCTAAACGTTGATTTGCAACACTTGGTTACAGTGCTTGCCCGACGGGTAGACACCGGTGGTTGGCGGGCACGAGTATCGGCCGCTGTCCGACGTTTACTGGACAACCACTACGGTCACTACGTCATCACAGCTCGGTCTGCCGTGTGCTCGTCAGCCGTGTGGACAAAACCTCAGGTGTGACCGGTGGTAGCCAATGGCCGCTGGGGACTGTTCGGTTTGGTAACACTGCTAAACAGAAATATACACTCACCGGCCGTTGCCCGTTTGTCGGGACGAGGCCTTACGCACGATACTACCCCCCACCCCAACTAAGCCAAGACCCGAAATTTCCTGTTGATGAATTCCCTCCGGACCTTCGACAGATTCAACTCCATCGAATACTAGCTTACGTCACATAACCATCATCAGCTGTTCATTTACCATTACTGAAGAGCGTCACATTCTTTGGCCATTGTCCAAGAGCATGGTGTCATTTCAGATTTTTCGAAGATTTCATATCACTACAGTGCGGAGATCCGAGAGAGAGAGAGAGAGAGAGACAGGGAGGGAGAAAGAGAGACAAAGAGAGAGGGAGAAAGGGGGTGGTCGATAGACAGCAGCTACACATATCCTACTAACCCCTCAAAAACCTAAAGAAAAATATCATGATCAAGACCCGTAACAAAAAAGAGTAAAGTCGAATAAAATACGTCAAAGTTTTACACAGTATATTTTATTGTCATGAAAATAATTACAGCAGGATAACTGACATCTTGTTCAGTGATTGTCATCTTTTCAGATTCAGTTATTATTAGTTTGTTATTAGTTATGAATACTGTAATGGCGTCAGTAGCTATAGAACAAGAACGCTTCATGGAAAGATTCCAATTTTTTGATATGTGAGAGATAATTGTATGCGGGCACTGTAGAGGAGCTAAAAATCAGATAATACTTTTCATATTGCTCCATGCCACCCCCTGGAGGCCGTAGCTCCAGCTTGGGAACCCCTGATCTAGAAACTGAAAAAATCACCGAGGAAACTCACTCCCTCTTCTTTTTCTTGCCTTTGCTCTGGGACCCAAGGACCCGCGAGCAGACGGCCCCCAGAAGGCGGCGGAGCACGTACACCACCACGAACACGGCGACGTGGAGCACCAGCAGCACGTCCAGCATGAGGAACTCGACCCACGACAGCTGCGCCGCCGGAGACCGCAGCCGGGGGGCGCCCTTGTGCCGGATCACGTACTCGGTCCAGAACACCGCGCGATCCTTCGGGCTTTCGGGCTGGTCACGGAGAGGACCCTGCACCTCTGTGGCCCTGGCTTTGTATCTGAGGAAGACGGCTCAGTGTCAGTGAGGATCTGAGGCCTCATGGAACCTGCATAAAGCATGGCTATATGTGTGAAGAGTGTGTTATACGATTGTGTGTGTGTGGGGGGGGGGGGAGTTTGAGATAATTAGTATTGATTAATGAGAAGCTATAAAGGTCCTGCTCATTAAAAGTGAACATCCTTACTTGGGATTCGAGATAATTTCCTGAAGACTGTTGACGATGAGCTCGACCGTCAGCTCCTCCCACACCAGCATCAGACCGAGGCCGTTGTTCTGTATGTTCATGCCATTCTTGGGCTGATCGCCAAAGATGGGGACCGCGAGGACTGGCGTGGAGTGGTAGAAGGACTCCTGAGTGCTGAGGAGTCCTCCGTGGGTGATGAAGACGCGGACGTTTGGATGAGCTGAGAGACCAAAGGTAAAACACGTGAGAAACCCCCTTCTGGGATTCCCCACTGTTAATTAACTATGCATTAACCCTCGCTTTGTTTCCTATTGGACAGTTTATTAAAAATAATTCACCCTTTACTGTGATGGCAGTGAATATTATTATCTTCAAAATTATCATTATTAACTATATTATCATTATCATTATCATATTATTATATTGAACAAAATCCACAATTTCTGTTTTTTTGTCACTTCAGAATCAGCCAAGATTAACTCACCGAGAATATCCTGCTGCGGCAGCCACTTCCGCATCAGCACGTTGTCAGAGACGCCCTCCAGCGCCACCTCGTACTTCCAGATGACCCGCTGTTTGAGCTGCTTGAAGGCCTCCACGAACATGTCTCGGTATTTCTTGGGCATCGACTGACCTTGAGCCACGGAGCCAAGACTGAAGTATACGACGCCTTCTGATCCTGCGCCGCTGATCCAGGACTCTAAATCCTGTAGGATATCGCAATAACACGGATCTTCTGACAAATGACAATATACCAATTTAAATCCTGATCAACATCGAATATCACCGATATTCCATTTCTTTTCTGTGCTTATTGATAATACCATGGAGTAGATGCTTCACATCTACCATAAGGCTTTGGATCCTCTTCAGAAATACGAATCTCACCTCAGGAAGGGGCTTGCCAGGACGGCAGTGCATGGCCCCCACCTCCACCTGGGACGGCAGCAGAGGCAGAACATCGTTCATTGTGAAGTGGGAGTTCATCAAGGCAAGGCTCTGGTTACGTTCGATGTCCAGTAGTGGCGGGAGGTCCGGGAACTGAGCCGAAATCTGGAGAAATGACAGACACAGATGTACACCACAGTTTCTTATGCTGATTTAACCCTATTGGAACTTTACTTTGTCTTGGCACCTTATTACTGTGATAGTAAACATTATTAACTGTAAACAAGCGAGCATAAAGCCCATTATATGATACAATGGAGATGAGATATTCTAATATTTTTCGTTCTTCCTTGTGAATTACATGACCTGCAGCCTTGAACCGCACTTTATTTACCGTAACTTAACAAGCACCATAATAAAATTTCCGACCTTTTGGGATTATTTTGGATTCAGAAAAAAGAGCACCTAGATATATCAAAATACAAGCAACACCGAGAGAACTGGTTCCCCCTCCTCGTCAGGATACTTACCTCTTTCTGTACGGGCGGAACGATACTCCAGTGGCGCCAATAAAAGGCAAACATGATGTGTTGTATCGTATTGAGGATGCGGTGTAACATGCTCATAGGTACTGGGTAAGAATTCATTATGTTAGGAGCGTAAGCAGGATTCAAAACGTTGCCCAAGACAGCGCTTTGGCGGTAGTCCATACCTGGCGTTGCTATGGTGATGAAGGGCATCTCGTGGGCAAATGGGTACGCAACCTTAGAGAAAGGATAAGTGGTTTTAGTTTCTTTTATTACTGTAAAAATGTTGATGAATTAATTTTGGATCACACTGGACCTATTATGATACCAATATTTTACTATATTTTCTTCAAATTCCCACTCTCTCTCTCTCTCTCTCTCTCTCTCTCTCTCTCTCTCTCTCTCTCTCTCTCTCTCTCTCTCTCTCTCTCTCTCCCCCCTCTCTCTCTTCTCCTTTTAATGAAATTAAGGGGCGTGATATCTACGGAGATGTTACTATGGATAAGGATTCTTTTTGCCTATTGACTGTTAGCCTGTGTAATTGTTTCAGATTGACGTATCAACTCGTATAATAATTAGCTGACTAGTTGACAAATGATGTACGATTTTTAAATATATTTTATAATATATGTATACAAAAATTGAAATCTTCCCTTTATTTCTCGATGGTTAGAATGCTTTAAGTTTCGTAATTTTCTATTTCCATTATTCATTCCTATACTATAATATTTGAGATTTCAAACCATCATGTTGTAAGAGTGAACATTGAAGCGTCATGCATAGTAAATGGTTTACTGTTATCCTTAATTTATCATTATTATTTATCTCTTTGTTTAGTCATTTGGTTCATTCATTCATTTATGTATTTAGTTGTTATTATTTACCTATTTACTTCAAGGAAATATTGCTTTTAGAAGGTGTCTCATTATCTTCAGTCTGAGAACCACTGCTATTGTGAGATAATATCCCGATGCATTCGCTATAACCAAATTTAGAATGAATCTACAGTACATTTGCTTTTCCCTACTGAGAAGTACTAGTGAGGTTAGCAGTTCTAGTAATATTCAACGAACAAATTCATTAATCAACATATATCGCTTTATCATTTCCTCCTTACCCATTTGCCATCACTGTAATAATTAAACTGTCAATGAAATGATGAATTTAACAGCGACAAGGGCAGTTTTAACACTATCTTAAAAGTAAAAAGACCTCTAACACGATTTGGGGAATCTTCATCATGAATGAGTTTAAGAATTTTCTTCTTGACATGACAGAATCCCTTGTTTGGTTTATGGCTGATTTTTTTTTCTGGACTAACTTATCATGATGTACGCGACTCTCACCCATCAAGACTTATTCTTTGGTGATAGTTGTGTTTGTGTCTAATTCTTTGACATACGAAAAAAATATAGCAATATCTATCACTATCTATACATTGAAAAAACAAAAGAGTAGGAGACCAAAAATCAAAATCATGCCAGACTTACCTCATTAAACATATGGTTGATGATTATGAGATCAAACTCCTTTCTTTTGTCATAGAGTTCTTTAACCTTCGGGACCTTGTACAGCTTCCTGGCGATGGCAGGAAGAGCCTTTTCGAACATTCCGAACGCAGCAGCTGGGTTCCCTCGTGTCTCGAACATGTTCATGCTTTCTTCCCTGAAATCGGGCAGTTCATGGTTGATCTCCTCGACGTTGGGGTGCTTCAACGCAGGCGGGTGGTTGACCAGCATCACAATCTGGTGTCATCGATCAGTGGCATTGAATAAGTCGACCCATGTTTTGGAGTTTTTATTCGTTTACTGTTTCCTCTTTGTTTTAATAATGATTAGGATATTAACGATATTAACTTACTTATACTGTACTCCTCCAGTACAGTCCTCACCTTGTGTCCTCGATCGGCTAAAGCCTCGGCGACCGGCAAGAAGACATTCCTGTGACTCTTTGAGGATATCGGCAACAGCATCAGGATCTTGTAGGATCTCTCGGGTGGAGCCAACTCCGCCCACGCCACGCCCATCAGGGCCAGCGCCAGCACCGCCCTCATCATCTGGGTAAACACATTTATTTAGGTACGTCATTAGCAGGAGGAATATGATAGCTTTGTCTGATGATTTGTTAAGTGCGCGCGCGTGTGTGTATGTGTGCTTTACCCATTTTTGTTCTGCTGGACGTTGAGTACTCAGATATCACCATTCCCCTGGTCTTGCTAATGATACCATACGACAGGCCGGTTATGACTTGCACATTTTACCGCCTGCGGCAGTCGCTGATTGTTACGCACAAGACGGCCTATTACATAGAATGTGTGTATGTGTTACACTCTCTCTCTCCCTCTCTCTTCATCTATCAATTTGTCTATCTATATAAATAAATAAATATATATATATATATATATATATATATATATATATATATATATATATATATACAAACTTGCATATTTGTGCAGCCATCTCTTCTTTTCCTTTTTCATAAAGGAATGGGTTTATAATACTATTAATTCATACACTGAGTGCCATGAACATACCTATCACTTGCAAGTGTCTTTATTGTTACTGTGATGTAGAAGTTACCAGTATTTCTAGTTTTTCTGATGAAATTACCCGATATTCTCTATTACACCAAAACATTCATAATACACGAATTTTAAATATACTTTTCTTCCACAGTTCATAATCAAATATTTATATATCAGATGGGACATTTTCTTACAATATTGGTATTGGTAACGTTTTGACTCTACGAAGAATCGATGTCTCGGAATCGCTTCAGCCAATTTTCGAATGGCGATGTATCGGTATCGTCCTAGACAATTCTGTGTATCGATGACCATCACTGTGTGTGTGTGTGTGTGTGTGTGTGTGTGTGTGTGTGTGTGTGTGTGTGTGTGTGTGCGTGCGTGCGTGCGTGCGTGCGTGCGTGCGTGCGTGCGTGCGTGCGTGCGGGCGGGCTGGCGTGCGTGCGTGCGGGCGTGCGTGCGTGCGTGCGTGCTTACATGTTTACGAGACTTATAATTCTGAATGGCTCAAATACATCACAAAACAGCTTCTGATAACACAAATGATAAAACTTTCCTTTGTAATAATCTATATTATCATAATTTACTAGACAAATCGTTAGCCGATTTCCGAAACAATAAGATAAATGAATAATAAAAATAAATAAATTAGTTGATTAATAACTTAATTAATCTACCATGTCAGAGCTGAAATTGGTCCGCACTCGTCCACAGCCAAATTACAACTGCTCGAGCTTCTGCCAGTTCTTCGCCTCATCGCATTCTCAAAGTACAGGCAAAGAAAACCACATATATTGATAGGGGACTAAACAAGAAAAGAATGTATCTACATGATGAAGAAATCTTTAAAAAAATAACTCAATCCACTATAATACTACAGTGTCTTATAACCAAGAAAAGAAAACTAAATTTGAGCGTTGTTACAAGGTGGTGGCCCTGTGGTGTTATAGCTGTTATTACAGGTATACGTACATTTTATTTACCTGCGTGCGAACTGCGGACCACAAGTCTGCGGGTATCAGTCCCCACGTTTGAAAGAAATTGTACGCATTGGTAACTCTGCAACTGCTAATGGTGAACCCTAGCATGGCAACATCCAGTAGAAGTCAGAGTTGCTATAGGGCATTTTTTTAGGATTCTCGCGGGAGAGGCCATCTCCTTTCGAATCCCAGATTTGCTTATGCGATTCTCGTAGGTAAACTTTCGCCAAGAAAAGTGAACTGTTATTTCTATGAGTCTCCATGAACTCAGCTGAAACAATCTGGTCTCTATTGGGTAACTGTGATTTCTACTTTGCTCACTCTTGCCCGTCAGCATGACAAACAGTTCGATGGATTTCGACCTTGGGCATGGTTAAAGGTACCCATGATAAGAACAATGATCTTTGCGCACAATCTTGAAGACATTATGATATTTTCAGTATATGACGAGAGATTTTAAACTAAATATCTATTGAATGATTAATCATTCTCCACCAATAAAAGTATTATAAACCGCAGTAGAGATGTCTTACCTAAGTATTAGAACCGACAAAATATACCGAGCTGGGCGAACATGTGTGGAATCCACTGCGCAGATATTTAGAGACAAATAGACGTATAAGGATTTACAGGGAAATTATTATTGTGTAAAAGCGCGTTACTTGAATTTTAATGCTATTTGGTTGTTAATTTCCTTTCAAGTTTCGGAAAGGTCGTGAAAAATATTTTGAATTGTTCGTAATAGCTATGCATACCCCTAATTGCGTGAACCACCCTATATATATATATATATATATATATATATATATATATATATATATATATATATATATATATATATATATTGAGAGAGAGAGAGAGAGAGAGAGAGAGAG